TCTACCGCTCATTTGAACTTTGCTGCCATAACAATTGAGCTGCTTATCTCTGAACAGGTTATGATGAAAGGGTCGTGGCGGATGAGCTTATTCTATGCTGCTTGTACTCTCCTTCCTCAAGTTTGTCATAACTTTGATTGCTACGATTCAAATTTTTCCACCGATTTTTACATTAAAAAAATAATTGGCCAATGCACCGACGGCTGGTGCGAAGATGCTTTTTTTGCACAGTTCCGTGCATTTTTTTTGTTACTAACGTCACTGTTTTTTCCCGGAAGATGCTTCTGGCTAAAAGAATTGAGACTGGCCATCACGACTGTCAGGAAACAACCCTTTAAAATTTCAGCTTTCTAGCTTTTCTGGTTCCCGGGTTAGCAGATTACTCGTCAAAAATTTCATGTAAGAACACATACGGCTGGGGACTGAATTTGATGTTATTAAGTCCCACGCAGTGGGGGATCCGCCAAAAACTTTCATGGATTCGCACGTGGGAATTACTTGGGCAAGGGCCACCATTTTGGGAGTAGGGACCTACAAATGCATATAGATTAATTTTCCAAACTTTTAACCTTGTAGCCTTTGTAAATCTCGAGATGGAATTCGGTACAGACGCACACACAGACAACTCCTCAGCAATATGCGTTTTTGCATTGCATAGATACAAAAAAAAAATGCATAAAAACTAGTGAATAGCAGTTTTCTTTTCTCTCTCAAACTTATCAGTCACGAAGGGACATTTGATAGCTTTGACTTTAATTTATAAGATAGTTCTGGCGATTTTGATGTGCCCAGTTGTTTTTTTCATCATTTTGTTACATAGGACCTCTCTGCTGGAATGTGATGTAATATTGCAGTTGCTGGTGATTTTGAGTGGCAATATGATTGTGAAAATAGGTGCTGCCGCAGTCGTCATGTACTCATTTGTAGCTTCCATTATTGCTTCCACGTTTGTGCTATTTTTCGGACATAATCAACCATATGTAATAATTTGCTTCATGTTTTTTGATAGGTGAGCAACTCTCTCAAACTTTTTTAATTTTTACTAGATCTGATTGCAAAACAGAGCCAGTGGAAAATAAAAGGGACCAGACTTCTTTGGCTGAAGAAATCCGTGCGTTCGTCTTTACTACTGACCTAGTCTTTACTGCGAAATTTTTACGCAGTCGTCAGCGAGAATTACTTCATTTTCAAATGGGCCGAAGCGTTTTAGTTCGACTGTAATAACCAAGACTGCCAAAATCATTCCTACAGTCGGTGTAGGGATCCGATCTCAGAGATGTTATTGATTGTCCCGCACGCTGGGTGCAGCTACGCTAGATTGTTCCCTTTAATTTTTTTTTGTGCAATTGGTATTCCCTTCTATGCTGTGGTAATAGTGCCATTTTTTGCGGTTTTTATCCCGTGAAACGCTTCCTGGTTTGTAATACCCACAGGTCGACAGTAAGTGAGTATCACCAGATCATACTTTCTGTTGTGGGGATCACAGCAACGTCCTGAGATCATTTAGACTCAAATAAAACCTTAATAGAATCTGAAAAAAACGGTTATATAAAAATATGCCCTTATTAAAAAGCGCTATTTTTGCTATGGTGCTTTTTCCAAGACCAGTGGGATGTCTTTAGATGCCGAGCGTAAGCGTGCCAGACCCTTCAGTCTTTATCTGCATAACTTCGCTTATCAGTCACTGCTTGTTCGATGTATGTGCGTCACCTCTTTGGTCGTTTGACTTCACGTCAGTACTAGTTACTGGCACATGATGTCTACAGTTGTCAGCAAGATGATCAGCATATCGTGCCTGTCGGATTTTTCTTTCATACGTGATCTCAATGATATCATTTACAGCACTCGTCGGACAGAGAGGTAAATTACAATAGTCTGGCACACTTTATAACTAATATTCAGTTTCTGTTATCATTGCTTAGTTTTGTTGAATTTTGTGGTGCCTAGATCGTGCCTCATTCACTTTTTTTTGGAGTGCTACTGACTCAGTCATTTTGATTAGATCGCACACTACTGACTAAAAAATTTTACAGTATCGCTGTGCATTCAGTTGCTCCACTGTTTCAAGTTCTCTTAGCCGATTTCATTGACGAGGATGCTACTCATTTCTCAAGGCAGTAAGTTTTTCACCTCTAAATTCGACTTTTTGATGACTGGTACTCTGTTTCAGAAATCGACTTTCTTTTAGTTCAGTATCTTGCTTACTTGGAATATTGCAGTGTGAGCTTTGCTTACTTGGAATATTGCATACCTAACATA